ATTTTCTCAAAATAAGGCAGGTCATGAGTTTTGATATATGTTCGAACAATTTCGTCCTTGGTCATAGGGGGTTCCACTTTGGCAGTTAGTTTCCTTCAATGCTTGGCATACGTCTTATGATCCTCTAACGGTTTCCTCCTGGTCCTCTCAAGCATGGTTCTCGTTGGTGCAAGTTCGTAATTGTACTCATACTGCCTCACGAAAGCGATTGACAAATCCAACCATGTCCTTATTTCCTCAGGCTTCAAATTGGAGTACCAATCCTGATACGAAATATGGGCCGCTTATGAGCCATGTTTCGGGCTGCAAGAGAATGAATCTTTTAGTAATAGTTTAGTAGTTCATTTTTTCAGATTTCTATTTTATTTGGTAGGAATAAGTTCGGTCCAAGATCTCATGTTGAGTTGGATCCAATTTATAGAGTCTAGGCTCACTATTACTTAAGTTGGTTAATTAGCTTTTATTGGGTTATGTTGGGCCAGCTTAAAGCTTTCATTGGGTCGATTATAAGCTGTCCATTAGTTAGCCCTAACTATGATTAGTGAGTCATTAGTTTAGTTGTCAAATCGAATAAGGAAACTTGCATTGTTTCCAACTTAGATTAGGTTTGCTTCTTTGTAAGGCTATAAATAGTCAAGCTTTGATAATTTCAGCGAGACGCTTTGATCATACAAAATACTTGAGAGAATTTTCTCCATAGCTTTCGAGCATCCCTTGAACAACTTAGAGTCATACTTTAGTGTTCTTGTTCGGCTTATCAATTCAAGAATCGCACTTGAATTGTAGCGCCTTCTACACTTGTCTGAGGTTCACTAATTCGTTTGATCACGGGTTGAGATAATATCAACAAGTTCGTAGTCACGGGGATTAGAGGGGTCGTAGGGTTTCCGCTGCTACCGTTTCTTGCGTTCGAAGTCAAATCCAACAAGTGATCTTGGGTCGCGAATCTTCTCACCAACGAGATTCGTATCAAATCTAGTGCATCTCCTTCTAAATTTTCGGAAAACAATCGAACTAACAAATTCTGGTCATCCATTGGTTTTCCTAATTTGTTTGCAAACTTTCGGAGATGTGTCTTGGGATTGCCCGTTCTGTCATACTTGCTAAATTTTTGGTGTTTTAAAACCCACAGGCAATTGCATATCAGGAAACAGGCACAATTCATTATAGTCCAAACCTCCTTGTTTGCTTAAACCTTGGCTCTTCCTCATGAACTCGTCAAATCGATCCAACCTTTTTAACAGATTCTGGTCAATTGGTGCGGAGTTTTCCCTACTTCAACTTTTTCTTGTGCAGCGGTGTCTAGCGTGAATGGTTCAACAGTGGAATAATAATATGGTCCTTGAGATTCAAGTGGCATGTTTGAACTAACAGGTGGATAACTTTGAGGAGCTTGCATGTGAGAAGGATTGATTTGGATAGTGGGTGCATAGGTATGTCGTAGGCCATGAGTGAGATAGGTGAAAGTTTTCTCAATTGGATTTATGACATGTTGAGCAAAAAAGGTTTGACTATAGGGTAGGGGTAGTAGTTGTGGTTCAGTTTAACTATTAGGTAAGCGCTTATGTTGGACACCACTACTACTACTAGCAACCAGTTGATCAATCATGTGTTGTTGTGTGGTCATTTCCATGCTTAATTCATTGAATCTATTTAACACTTCGCTCAGTTGAGCTCCCAGATTTGCAAGATCAGCTGATGGCGTCATTGCAGTCCTATCAGATAATTCAGGATGTGTACTCATGTTTACACTATTTCTTAAAACTTGGCTACGTGATCGTGTAATGATGAAATTTTTTCGTGTAGCTATGTTTGCAATTATCTAAAAATTTAGAAAAATCCTATTTAGATTCCCCTCTTGATTAACTGCTGACAAAAAGAAAGAAAAAAGAAAAAGACGCAAGTTAGTAAAAATTAGGCTCCGTTTGGATTAGCTATTTTTTGAGGTGTTTTTTAAAAATTTTACTGTAGCTTTGTATATAAAAAACTTTTACTGTAGATGTTTTTGGATTGTTTTTAGAGGTATTTTTAAAATATATTTTTGAATATTTTTATAATTTAGAATTTTGTTGAGATTCTTTTTAAATATATACTGGCTCTGTTTCTATATATTAATGTTTATTTATATATATAATATTTTTATTTCAATTTTATTTTTTAATATGTATATTATTATATATTTAATATACATATACAAATATATATATATTAATATATATTAATATACATATTATAAAATAAAATTGATATGTATATATTTATATAAGAGTGAATGGCCCAAAAGGTCACTAAACTATTAAAAATGGCACCCTCTGGTCACTAAACTTTTTTTGTGGCTGAAAAGGTCACTAAACTCGCAAAAACTCTCCAGCGAAGTCATTTTACCGAATTTCAGCGGTTCCTCATCCGGTAACAGGGTCAATATGGAGTGGAGAAATATAGTAAAGGGGCAAAAATATCCGAAAGATTATTGGAATAGGTGAAGCCATAGATTGTCTCAATCCCAAACCACTTTTGAACCCATAGATTGACTTCGTCTTCTCCGGCAGTAAAAAAAGTGACTTTGACCACCTGTAAACCAAATCAGAATAGCAAACCTCTTCGAGTTACAGCCTAAACCCATCTCAAAAACAAGAGTAGCCGAGGAAATTGTGAAGATGGTGATTTCAATGAAGTGGGTGAAGCGATCGAGGGATGAGTATGCTGACCCGTACACGATGTATGGTAAGTTATTAAAAAATTTATTTTGGTGAAGAAGAATGTTGGTAAAAGATAGTGCAAAGTCTGAAAATGTTAATACGAAATGCAAAAATGTCGAAGAGGTTTTAGGGTTTAATGGGTTATTTTATATATAACAAAGGGGGCATGAAAGGGATAAGAGAGAATGGTCCTCCCTTTTGTCGTCATAGTAGGTTACAAGGGGTCCTACATTCACATGTCGTTAAACTAAATTAATTAGGCAGAAAAAATGTGACTTTTATTGTATTTGTTGACTAACTGCAGTATAATATTAAGGTTTTGTGTGGGAATTAGAAATGAACCTGTATTGAAGACTTAAAAATTAATTTCAGATTGTAGTTTTTATTAAAAGATTGGATATCTATCAATTAACAATACCTGCAACTATTTGATCTTTGTGATGCAGAGCATGGATGCTCATTATTTACAGTTAAGATGCGGCATGGTGGTAGAATTGAAGGGGATAAATATAAGAGTTATGTTGGTGGAGAGGTAGACTATTTTGATCTTTGTGATGGTGATAGAATGTCAATGCATGAGATTAATGATATGGTGAAAGAGTGTGGCTACAACAAGAATGTCATATTGTACTATTATCTTGATCCAAGAAGTGATATCAACAATGGATTGAAAGAACTCCAAACTGACGAACATATCAGACAGTTTTGTAGTTGGGTGGAGCAGTTCAAGTTGATGGAAGTGATATGCGACCATGTTCCAGATGACGAGGTGTTAAAAATTCAAACAAAGACCATCGTAGAGCCACCGGATGTGCACAAGTCTATAGTGATCGTTGAGGAAATTGATGATGGGGAGGAACGTCAAACAATGAATGCGTGTAATAGTAAATCTGTGAAGAAAAAGGGTAGATTCCGTACACGATCATTTGCTGCTTTAGAGTGGAAGGATAGCACTATACAAAAAAAAGCAGTGCATGAAGCTATTGACCAAGGTGATGCACCTACAATTACAGCAGGCTTGCACTCAACTTCTGGAGATGGTGAAAATGAGGGAGAAGGAGGCGAGTGTGATGATGGGGATGGAACATGTGATGAGAGGGAATTTGAACAATACACAGATTATTATCGGGACGATGAAATGTATGAAACACAAAGTATGCAGCAGCCTCCAACACAATGTGGTCAACCACATGAAACTCATGCTGAGTCAAGTGAAAGGCAGCTAGAAAATGAAATTGATATTGGCGAAGGAGATAGTGAAAGGCAGCCAAGTGAGCAACCTAGCCAGGCAGGAACTCAAGCATCAAAAATTACAAATTTGAGGAGGAGTTCTAGGTTGAGCAGCAAATGGAAAGGTGATGTCACAGCTGCTGAAACTACACGGGAAAGTGAAGACCGTGGCCCCCAAACTACACAGCAAACACGGGCAACCAATGCTAGCAATGAAAATCCACTTTTGAATGATGGAATGGAGATGGAACTCAACAGCAATAATGGGTCGTCTGACGAGGAAATCCAAGAGGTAAACATGAATTATACTAACTTTGATATGGAGAAGTTTATGAAAAATCCTGAATTTGAGGTTGGTATGAAATTTGGAAGTAAGGGTCTGTTTAGAGAAGCTATTAGGAATTACTCGATTCTTATTGGGAGACCCGTATTTATGTACACAAATGACAAATCTAGATTGAGGGCAAAATGTGTGGCACCCTGTCCGTGGTTTGTGTATGCTTCTAAAGTTCCAGCATTGAACAACTCAGATTTTGTTTTGAAGACATTGAATGATGTTCACAATCATTGCAGTCATGCCTGGAAAAATAAACACATGTCTACCTCTTGGCTGGCAAACAGATATGAAGATCAAATAAAGTCAAATATGTATATGCCAGCAAAGCAAATTAGGCAGGCTGTGGATGAACAATATAAGTGTGAGATTAGTAGAAGTATGGCTTACAAGGCAAGGACTAAGGCTAGGAAGAATATTAAGGGAAGTGTAGCAGAACAATATGCTTTTGTTTGGGAATATGCTGCTGAATTACAGAGGACCCATCCAAATACAACAATTGACATTCAATACAATCCGAGAAATGATCCTGATGAGAGACCTACATTTACCAGATTCTATTGCTGTTTAGGACCTCTCAAAAAGGGGTTTAATGAGGGTTGTAGGCCCATTATAGCACTTGATGGGTGTCACACAAAAGGAGCATATCCGGGACAATTGTTGACAGCTATTGGGACAGATCCCAATAATGGATGGTGGCCCATTGCTTGGGCTGTTGTTGAAAAGGAGGCAAGAGAGCAGTGGCATTGGTTTCTGAGCTTATTGATTAAAGACTTACAAATAGCCACTGCCAGCAGTCATTACACATTTATTTCGGACCAACAAAAGGTGAAGCACTCATATCTTATCATTATTGTTGATATTAGTTACTATTTGGTTTATTAGAGTTGACCAATTTTTCACAATTTGTTATTGTAGGGGCTTGATAGTGCACTTTTGGAACTTCTTCCATATTGTGAACACAGATTCTGTGTTCAACACATGTACAGGAATTTCAAGAAAAAACATCCTGGGCAGATTTTAAAAGATAGACTATGGAGCATTGCAACAGCTACAACTGTTGAGTTGTATGAGGCAGAACTTGATGACTTGAAAGAGTATGACCAGCTTGCATATGCATGGGTCAAAAGGGCACCACCACCACAGCATTGGTGTAAGGCATTCTTTCCTCATCATGTTAAATCTGATATGTTAGTTAATAATCTCTGTGAGACGTTTAATGCAAAAATATTAGAATACAGGGATTTACCTATTATTGGAATGATGGAAGGAATTAGGGAGTATTTAATGGGTAGAATAGGAGATAGGGCGGCTTGGATGAAAAAATGCCCTGGTGCTGTTGGTCCAACTATTAAGGAGTTGATTGAAGAGAGGGCAAAACAGTCTAGGAAATGGAAAACTGTGGCAAATGGTGATGGGGGTTATCAAGTCAAAGGGCCTAAAGGGGAACAATATGCTGTATATGTACAAGAAAGAACATGTACTTGTAATTTATGGCAAGTTAGTGGCCTGCCATGCTGCCATTCCATTGCAGCACTTCATAGAATGAATGAGGACCCGTGCATGTATACTGATGGGTGTTACTCCAGGGAACTATTTTTAAAAATTTATGAGAATGTCCTCTACCCTAGCAGTGGAAAAGCACTTTGGCCAACTAGTACAAATCCGGTGTTAGGCCCCCCAATACCATGTGTGCAAACGGGAAGACCTAGAAAGGCAAGAAGAAAAGATGTTACAGAGAATAGAAGCCACTCTGGGTCACAAAAAGCAACTGTCCACAAAATGAAAAAACATGTTGTTATGCATTGTAGAAACTGTGGTTTGGCAGGTCATAATCAAGCTATATGCAAAGCTCAAGATGGTGCTGAAACTGAGCATTTAAGACAGCAAAATGCAACTGGCCAACCAAACAAATTTGTAGCTCCGGGTTGTAGTGAAGAGGATGTTGTTCCCAAATCTAGAGAAGAGAGTGTTATGCATGAATCTGGTGAACAGAATGCTGAAAATGTTGACGTTGAAGTTGGCAATTTTTTCCAACAATATGATAATATTGCTCACTTCAGCCATCAACTTTAGAAGGTGCACAACAATCAATGGAAGGAGCAAATGTTGCTGCCGAAGGTGACACTAGTAATCCAACAGAGATGTTGAGGACGATTGCCAGTCCAACTAATAAGAGGATAAAGACCCCTGTTAGCTATCAACCTTTCTAACTATTGTTATACAATATTGTAATTGTAGTTCTTGGAATAACTGAGTGAAATGTTATTTGGTTTTTGTGATCAGGTCCGGCGAACTCGACCAGATGCTCCCAGAACAACAACAAGTCAAAAAGATCCTCGTCCGGCTGCATCTACTGATAATACGCAGAAAAGGGTGGTCCAAAAAAAGAGAAAATTGACGGATGCCGAAAAGGGTGCGATCAATGCCAATTATGCATATTTGGGAAAAGAACCACCATTCAAGGTTGGAAATTGGGCAGGAAGATCATTTGGAAGAGGCCGTGCAACTTAATGATAAACTGTTAAATAACTTTTGTAGTCTTTTTGTAAATCTTTTTGTAGATCATTGGGCAGGAAAATGTAATAGCTTTTTGTTGCCATTTTGTGGGAGTCAAACATACCTTTTGTCCACCTATTGTAATACAACCAATTATGATCCAATGCAATGACTCTTTTATTTGTCATTCACTACTTAATAATTGGAATGGGCTATTGTTCTTGTCAAATTAATTGATTAGTCAACAGCAAAACTCATAATTAACATTTTCAAAGATCCAAAGTCAACACAATTACTAGCTTCATTAAGTACAATTGCATTGTACATACCAGCAATCCAAAATCTCTGCATTCTACAAACTAGTATTTCGCAACATTTCTTTCATACACTAGCAATTTACAACCTCTTCGAATTTGGCATTGTTGGCTCATGCATCCATATTAACCACACTGTAACAACCACTCCAATCACAAAAACACTTTTTGCTAGCTTTCTTGTCCTTTGTTTTTTTTCCAATTGCTCCTTTAGTCTTTTTATCTCCAGTGCCATCTCGTTTGCTTTGCTTTGCCATCCCCGAACCTCCTTTTGCAGAGCTTCATTCTCAGCTTCTAATTTGTTCTTACTTCTTAACAGGCCAGGTATTACTTGCTTAGCTCTCTCACAAATTTCTTCATCATACCAATCCCAAAATCCACACCCTCTAACCTGCAGCAACAAATATTTACATTTTATCCATCTTGTAAACTCGCAAATATCCATTAAGTAATTATCTTACCTGATTTTGAGCACATTCAATATATCTTCGCGCTGGATTTCTTTCTGTCCATGAGGCCTTCAAAATAGTTCTAGTTCCGCACTTGCAGAATGGAATCGGTTTATTGCGTCTTGCCATGAGTCATTGGACAGGATGAAATGGAAGAAGATTTTTCCTTGAATAGATGAGAGAAGATTTGTCTTTCAACAAATGAAAAGAGGACTCAGCTAATTTCTAGATCTAAGGCACGACTTGCGAGAGAAAAAAAGGTTGACCATATTTTGTTTGACATTTTTGCTCCTTTACTATATTCCTCCACTCCATATTGACCCTGTTACCGGATGAGGAACCGCTGAAATTCGGTAAAATGACTTCGCTGGAGAGTTTTTGCGAGTTTAGTGACCTTTTCGGCCACAAAAAAAGTTTAGTGACCAGAGGGTGCCATTTTTAATAGTTTAGTGACCTTTTGGGCCATTCACTCTTTATATAAATATATTTTAAACAAATATTAATATTTATATATAAATACATATATTTATTTCAATTGATATAATATATATAACATACATATTAATATGCATAATTTAAATTACATATTAATATTAATATAATTTATATATAATAAAATATACATAATTGAAATATACAAATTGAAATATACATATTAATATATATTAATATACATATTATAAAACAAAGTTGAAATAAATATATTTACATATTTATATAAATATATAAATAAATATATTCATATATTTATATAAATATATATAGATATATATATTTATATTTAAATAAATAAATATAAATAAATATATTTTAAACAAAATATTTATATTTATATATAAAAATATAATATTTATTTCAGTTGATATCATATATATATTATACATATTAATATACATAATTGAAATATATTAATATTACTATAATTTATATATATCTTATATTCATAGTTGAAATATAAATATCAAAATATACATATTAATATATATATATTAATTTACATATTATAAAAATATTTGAAATAAAAATATTTATAAATTTATATAAATATATTATTTATATAAATATTAATAATTAAATATATTTATATATTTAAATAAATATATATAAATATATTTATAAATATATGTAAATATATTTAATTATATATATTTATATTTTGTATTAATATTTATATATAAATATATATATTTATTAAACAAAATATATTTTTTGTATATAATATTTATATATATAAATATTTTTGTATATTAATTTTTGTATTAATATTTATATATGTATTTATATATTTATTAAAAAAATATATTTTTTTGTATATAATATTTATATATATATATATATATTAATATATTTTTTGTATATTTGGAGTTGTTTTTAAAATATTTGTTGAATATGGTGTTTCTGAAGTTGATTTTATAAAATTTTTGCTATAGCATTGTAGATGAAAAACAAGTTTTTGAAAAACTCTCAAATCCAAACTAAGCCTAAAGTAATTTTGATGCATGTCCTATTGGAGAACCCTTTTTATGCCAAGGGTAAGCCTAACATGATGCAACATCTTCAAAGTGGGACCCATTTATTAAAACTGCTTTTGACCACCATTTTGCACAAAAGAAAAGTTATTTCAAATTTTCATCTTTATAAACATTATTTACATTATTTCTCGGAGACGGTCTCGTACGAAATCACTAAACCTTTTCAACCTATCTATTACAGCACTTTTGGATTCTCTGGTATAGGGATTGCGTATGTGTTCCACTTGATCGTACAGTTTCCCACATTTTTTTTTCAATTCTTGGTGTTTCTCTCGTATCTTTTCATCTGCCCTCTTATGTTTCTCTGCCATCTCCTTGCTAGTTTTGACGGACTCTTTTAGTTGCAAATTTTCTCTGTCTTTGGCTTCAATAATGGCTCTCAATCTCTTGACCTCCTTGGATGGTTCCTCTCGCGATTCTTGCGTACCAAAACCCTTAAGCCAATCCTCATATTGTGGCGTTACTAAACCCTTTTGCTTGAGTTTCAGAATATACTTGACGTGCTCGTCGTCAGACAATGTCCCTCAAGCCTCAATGATAGGAATTTTCATCTGAATTTCCCTTGGACATATCCCTTTGTCAAAAATAACGGTGAATTTTGTTAAATCAAGTGTATACAAAAATTCTTGAATACGGCCCAATTGTCGGAGAAACCTCTTTAGAATATAAGTCATGATACCCTATGTGCCTAGCAATGGAATGAACTCTGAAGCTTTGGTGTGAAGTATGGGTTTAACATAACTAGTCCAATCTAAAACCCATCTAACATTATGATCAGGCAAGTTTTTTAAGAAATTCACATACTCAAATATATTACTTGGCAAACCATTTTCATCAACCCTCTTGTGATGCGTGACTATCCAATTATACCCAAACATTGGCAGATTATTAGGAATAGGTAATCGTCTCATAAATTGCTCCATAGCCCATATGTACAGAACTAAATTGGATCCATGAAAGAATTTTCTACCCTTTTGACAAGTAGTGCAAACTACAAAGATATCAGCTAAGATAATCGAAACAATAGAGCATTGCCTATATTTTATCCTTAGAAACAAATCAAACATGACTTTGGTGAGTTTAAAAGCTATCTTCTTGTCTTTTCTCGGAAAAAGGTAAGTTCCGGCCATAACGAATCCATACACCCACACTCTTTTACATTCCTACATTGTCTCGGACGTGAATGAAAAATTTCCTCAGTGTTTCTCAAACCCATCCCTCAATGCAAATCGTTCGAATAAGAACTTCACATCTATGCTTTGGTCAAACCCTTGTGTTACGGATTCTTTTAATCCAGTGAAACGGCATAACTCGGCCTCGCTAGACACAAACGAAAATATACACCAGTACCATGAATCGGTAAATTAAGAAGGCCAGATACCTCCTCAATTGTCATGGTCATTTCCTTTTTGCCTATTCTAAATGCGGAACATATAGGATCCCACAAATGTATCAAAACCTCTACTAAGTAGCCGTCTGATTTGATATCTTTAAAATCCCTAATTGGTTCTAAGTGAGAGGCTACTTAGTTAATTTCATTAGGTGAAAGCAATGCGGGCCACCTCTTTTGTACCTCAGTCGGTGCTACTAACATTTGCTAAACTAGTCGAGGGCGTTCCATCTAGAGACAAGAAACTGGTGTCAAGTACCTTACCTACAGATCCCACTTTTTCGGTTAAATTAGAATCTAAACGTGAAAAATTCCAAAATAGGGTTAAATACTCATGGGAATATAGGGTTGGCTTATTCTTAACATGGGATTCCCTAAATGACATTCTCTCTAAAGCTTATGCATGATGCCAATTTATCAAAGCGATTAAATATGCCATTTGAAATAAAAACATGACCTAAAAGGACCCTTTATATGCCAGAGTGGCCCTAAAATGATATGCAATTATTAACCTACGAATGCAATACATCGAAATTTAAACGTGCAATAACTTATCTAAAAGAGTAGACTCTAAAAGAGTACCATGCCAGAACTCCTATTTTTAAGGCTCATGAATGCAATAGAATAAGAAACGAAGAAAGGTTAGTTCAATTGATACATAACACATTGGAGTAAACAAAAATAATAGAAGACAATTAAAGGAAGAAGGGTGTAATCCCTCCCCTCGTGCCTAGTATTCTTATTCGGGTAAGGTTGACTCTATCCTAGGCGATTTCTAATATGGATGCATGAGGTTGGATGCATAAGGTTTTAGGCTCCCAAACCTTCAGACCAAAGGCGAAGGGTCGTCAATCTCAAGGCCTAAGAGTCGGTGGTTCGAGTGATCTCTCGGACATTGCTACGTGCATGTCGTGTCACAGCCACATGTTCAAGTGGATCGATCCTAATCCTAATAGGGGAAGTGTAGTGTGACAACCACTAAAAGTAAAAAGAAGTGAGAGGTTACAAAGTAAAACGTATGCACGTATGAAGTACTCCTTTTGAAGGGAGGAATTAAATACTATCGCATGTGGGTGAAGGTTCTAGGGTAGCTATTCCCCCCCCCCCAAGATGCAAGCGAGATAAACATAAGTGAA